CCCCGGTAGAAGATTATCCATACCGGGTATAATAAGCTTATCCTTTTAGTACCCAGTTATGGATAAATATTATCCCCGGTAGAAGATTATCCATACCGGGTATAATAAATGTATCCTTTCAGTACCCAGTTATGGATAAACATTATCCCCGGTAGAAGATTATCCATATCGGGTATAATAAGCTTATCCTTTCAGTACTCCGTTATAGATAAACATTGCTCTCAGTAGAAGATTATCCATATCTGGTATAGTAGCAGCTTACACAATAGCTTCCTTTCTTCTATAAATAGAAGAGATTTCAGGTCATTATGTATATCAGTTTGAATTCGAATAATATATCAGTTTCTCTCTATACTTGTCTTTACTTTATAGTCTTTATTTTATAACAATACGCGTATAACGAATAAAAAATAAAAGAAATATAATAGATAATATTAAGATTAAGACTGTATTGTGGTCCAGGTTCGGGCCTAAACGGGCCTGGGCTTTTTGCGGGCCGGGATTTGGCGGTGCCGGGCCAAACGGTCCCAATGGGTGGAACCAACCCACTGTGGTCCTAAGCCCACATGGTCCCGGGCTAAATGGGCCGGGCCCACGGGCCTAAACTGGCTTTTTCATTCCGGGCTATTTTTTTTTGAATTTTTTTTTATCTAAGGCAATTTCTTGTAAACTATATATGTATATACTAATATAAATTACTTGTGTATAGCTATATATATATATATATATATATATATATATATATGTATATTAGATATAGTATATATAATATATATAAGCTATAGATATAGTTCAAATTAAAGTTTACATTTAATACTCGGTATCAAAGCTGTAAATTAAAGTTTACATTTAATACTTCAAATTAAAGTTCAATACCTTCAACATAATAATACTTCAAATTAATCTAACAAACTAGAACATTAAGCATAATACGTCTAATAATTTTAAAATAACACAAATTGTCTCAAATCAACTTAAAATCTTAAATACGAATGTCTGGAGAACGCGCAGGACAACTCTTTATATGTCTCCTTAAAGAGCCTGTGCCCTCCTTTCGACGACGAGTGTGGACTCGACCACAGTTCTTGCACTTTATTATGTAAACTTCTTCATTTTCTTCTACCACATTAAAGTGTTCCAAAACAAAGGGGTGCAATCTAGAATTATCTGGCATGATTTAACTTGAATTAAGAATTTAAGTTTGAAAAATGAGAGATGAGTGAAGACTTGAAAACTTGAATACTTCAATTTGAGTTTGAGAAATGAGAGAGATTGATGAATTTGTGAGTAAAAATGAAAGAAAGGGGGTATTTATAATTGAGAATAGGGAAAAAGTGTAATTATAAAAAGTTTGGGGGCCAAATGACTATTTTTGAAAGTGCCAAACGGCTAAAAATGCAGGCCAACGACTACATTTTAAAATTCTGACCGTTGGCCCTTTTTTTAAATTTTTTTTAAAAAAATAGCCGTTGGGTCCGGTTGAACCGGCCCAGGCCCGCTTGCCGGTCCCGGGCTAAACGGTCCCGGGCTCGCGGGCTTTTTGGTAAGGATCAGCCCACCGTGGACTTTTGGACCGCTAGAGACCGGCCCGTTTGGCATGCGGTTACGGGCTGGGCCCGGACCACAATACACCGTTATTCTAAATATGTTTCGTCTATAGCTAGATGGTAAATGAGATTGTGGTTGAAAACTTTTCTTTCCTGTGACTCGATCGGAATAAGTATATAAAAAAAAATTGAGGATATTAGAAAAAAAATTCCAACCACCTTATAAGATTAGTCAAACATCCTTAGTGGGAGTTTGGACATAAAAATTGTAAAATTTCAAAAAAGAAAAAAAGAAAAAAGAAATTCAAGGTAAAATGGTATTTGAAAATTAGAGTTGTGTTTGGACATGAATATAGTTTTGGGTTATTTTTTAAGTTTAGTGAGTGATCTAAGTGAAAATTTTAAAAAAATAGCTTCTTGTAATTTTTAAGATTTTCGAAAAAAATTTAAAATTCATTTTCAAGTGAAAATCAAAATTTTATGACCAAACATTGATTTCGAAAAAAATAAAAATATTTCAAAAAAATAAAATAAAAAATTCTTATGTCCAAACAGGCTTATAACTCCAAAAAGTAACAAAGACTCCCACTCCCACGCGCGTGGGAAAACCAAAATCCAATTCCCAATCAGACAGGGAAGCGACAGGTCTTATGTTCTCACTTCTATAAAACCTTTGTGTTCATCGACTTTGCCGCTGTTGAATTCACTGTCCAAACCCCAAACATCAAACTCCGATTGTATGTTTTCCTTCTTGTCTCTCTTCTCTTTAGATAATAATTAGCCCGAAACCCCCTCCCCTTTTAATGGTATAATACGATTACTCTATCTGTTTATGTTTTTTTACATGTTAAATTATACGTTTCGAATGGATCGAAACTTTGATTGTGTAACATGTTCTCAATTGCTAAAATTTCTTATTGTGCAACATCTACATTGACATACTTAGTAGTACTTCATAAGGTGTGACCTACAACGACATGCCTAGTATTATCCGTCGTTGTGGGGGTCTGGCAAGGATGATGTGTACACAAATCTTACCATGTTTCCAATAGACCCTCGACTCAGTCGACTCAGGAAAGCATAACCACCACATTAATGAAAATATAGAAACGAAGGGACAGTACTAAAAAGCCATATAAAAGCAGATAAAAACAACAAGATAGTAAGGTGATCAACAATGAAAGAAAACAACAGTTAGTCATAAAAATTACTCCCAACAAAAAGCGAGATTGTGTGCCAATACTACTGTTATGAACACTCTAGTGGTCAAATATTTCTTTTCTTCTGCCTATGCCTAAACCTTGGTAGGCAGATTTACCATGTACTTGTGCTAGTAGGAGGCTGCAGGTACCGGGAGGAATAGTTGAGGTGTGCGCGAGCTTAGCCTTGACACTGTCTTCATCAAAAAAGAAAAAAAAGAAGAATAGTTTGTATAACTGGTCTTACATCTGTTCTAGCTATCTGTCTAACGAGCTTTGCTCTGACATACATTCATTCCACATGGGATTATTGTGATAGACACGAGTCAGGATTGATGTCAAGCATCTAAAGTATGATCGCTACTTTCTTGGCTAGAATTTAATGTAAGATTTGTATATGCAACATGTTAAAGTATGTTCTCATTTATGTTTAAGTTCCCTCTGTTTTGTTCAAATGACCAGAAGTCAGAATGGCGATGACAGATAGCTGTAAGAGACTTGCAGTTGGAGGGGACAAACTCGATAGGCTTACGGATCTTCCTATTAATGTTATACACCAGATTCAGGATCACATGTCTATTGAGGATGCTGCAAAAATGAGTGTTTTGTCTAGAGAATGGAGATATGTTTGGGTTTCAAACCCGAAGCTCGCATTTGGTGCACAGTTTTACAAAAAGAGAAAGCTATCCACCACAACAGACGTCATTAGTACAATTGTCTCGCAGCACCATGGAGTAATTAAGAAGTTCCACTCAATAATACATTCTTCTCAGCACTCAGTTGTTGATGAATGGATGCTATTGTTGTCAGGAAATGGTCTCACTGATCTCACCCTTCATAACCTAACCAATTCCAAGGCTCCATACAGATTGCCTTCCTGTGTGTACGGTGTGGAACTAGAACGGTTAGTCCTGTGGAACTGCATTTTCAGGCCGCCATGCAGTTTTAGGGGTTTCCACAAGCTCAAAAGGCTTAATCTAAAGCAAGTGTCCTTTGAATTAGACATTTCAACTGCTTCCCTCTGGATGCCAAACCTTGAGAGACTGAATTTTATGCAATGCAGCGGTCTTCGTCACTTAAATATATATGCACCTGAACTTTTACTTTTAACATTCTATGGCTGTGGCACTGACGCCCTTAAACCGGGTCCCTTCATGGACTGTGTGAAGCTGGAAAGTGCTGGAGTTTCATTCCAAGAAGAAGTTTCACAAAACAGACAAGATAAAGCAGTGAAATTGACAAATCTTCTCAGCAGCTGGCCTAACATTAGTTTTCTTCTTCTGGACCGGTACTTTCTCAAGTTAAGTTGCAAAAAGTTTATAGTATCTTTGAATAACTAAGAATGATGCATAATTTTGTAGTAATATTTAACGTTATTACTTTGTGGTTCTTTATTTGTTGTCTAGGCTTTTGCTTCTGGTACTGAAGTGGATGGGCTTCCCACGAGCCTCAGCAGATTGAGAGTTGTCTATCTTCACAATTACAATTTCGACGGTGAAAATCAAATATCTCCCCTTGTATGCATCCTCAGAAGTTGTCCCAATTTGAAGGAACTTATATTTCTTGTAAGTAGTTGAGTTCATGAGTTGTTTGTTACTCATTTTCGCTGAAAACATTACTGATTTTACTTTTAAACTATCTACTTTCAGTTGGGCAAGAGGAAGAAAAGTGGCATGAAATTGGATGTAAATCTTCTTGAAGGACCAGGCTCAGGCTGCAATAACCTTCAAATTTTGCAAATAAAAAAGTTCCATGGTTCAACAACTGAATTGTGGTTTGTAAAGTTTATACTTGTCTTTGCCCCTTTACTCAGGAAGGCCATCCTTTTGGTAGAGAGAAGTGTTGGTGAAAGACAATTCTCGAAAATCTCAAACAAGTTGAAGCAGCTTCCTCGAGCATCTCCTAATTCGGAAATAATATACAAACAATACTGTTCGGTAAAACAAGCCAGGCACGGTTGAGAGAGCATACCCCTCTTCTTGACTTATGTCTGTTTTTGTGACTACTTATGAGAGAGCAGAGGATCCTATATTGTGTAAAATTTGAAGGAAATTTGACTTCATTTCTCATAAATAGCACTTCTTCAAACATGTATTATCCATTCATCCACCAGCATTATTTGATTTTTTTTTTCCAAATTAGAAGGGTCTCTGCAGCTTTTTCCATGCTCCTTAATTGGCAACATCTGTTTTAGAGAGTCAATTTAACACTACTATGCCTGCCCCTACTCTTGGTCTATTCCCTCTGAATCTGAGCAAAGAAGGCAATTTCATCGTTAGTAGTTTTGCCTATGCATGACATCAATTGAAGTTTTTCTTATATATACCACAAAAGAAACTTATTTACCTATTTTGGATGATAAGTACGAGGGAGAGGGAATGAGATGTTAAATCTTTTGAAAAATAGATGAAATTCGAATTTTTAGGAGGTGGTTAGTGAAGGAAACATAATGAGATGCTAAATTTAAGGAATCTTCTATTTTCTTCTTTTTTATGGTTTTACACATGAATGGTAAATATAAATATAGAATTTAATTAAGTACAAACCTTTATAAAAGTGGTAAATAAGTTTCTATTATAGCATAGCTAGGTAAATTTTTCATTTTACATTTTTATCGACCAATTATGTGTTGAAGTTGTCAAATATCCCACATCGGTGGTTGACACTTTTGTTTGGGATTTTTTTCCCTATAAAAGGAGGCTTAATGTTTAGGATTTAAACACACCTCTCATTTGCCCTCTTATCTTCTTAAGGCATTTGTATCTTCTCTCTTTAGTATTATTTCACTTGTATTTTTGGAGTGGAATAAAATATTGGTTGTGTCCGAGGAAGTAGGCAAAATTGGCCGAACCTCGTAAATTCTGGTGTTCCTTTTATTGTTGCTTTATTTTCTTATTTATTATTTGGTGGCTGCCATAATTTTTGGTATAATAGTTGTGACTCATTCACATACATACATTTGGCTTCCGCAACAATTGGTATCAGAGCCAAGGTACTGTCTAAGTATGCTCTGTGGTTGCAACATAGTCTGATCTTCCACATCAGAAAAGATTTATCTTGATAACTGAGTCAAGGTTTTGTCTAAGTATGCTCTGTGGTTGCAGCTTAGTCTGATCTTCCACACCAGAAAGGAAATTATCTTGATTTGTGTCGTCAGCTATTAAATAATATTTGTGGCAAAGATGAGAGACAATAAACAAGAAGAATCTACATCAAGTGTCAACAATACGTCATCATTGGCATTTTCGCTTATGACAAGAATTGTATCAAATGCGAAATTTGCGGTAGAAATTTTTGACGGGTCACGACATTTTGGGATGTGGCAAGGCGAGGTTCTAGATGTCCTTTTTCAACAAGGGCTGGATCTTGC